CAAGCCACCCTTGCCAAGCTAAGCGTGCAGCTGGGTAGATGGACACTGCTCCAGAATGTCTGTGCCTCTTCAAAATTTATACGTTAAATCCTAATGCCCAACGTGATGGGTTTTGTAGGCAGGGCCTCTGGGAGGTGATTAGGTCGTGAGGGTGGAGCCCTCGTGAATGGGATTAGTGTCCTTAGAAAAGACCCCACGCAGACCCTTTGCCCTTTCTCCCATGTAAGAATATAGTGAGAAGATGGACTTTCTAGGAAGCCTGCCCTCACCATATACCAAACCCACTAATGCCTTGATCTTGGACTTCCCAGCCTCTGGAACTGTGAAGAACAAATTTCTGTTGTTTATAAGCTACTCAGCTGGTGGTGTCTAACTGCCCGAATGGACAAAGACAGAAATGTCAACCAATTATTGTAAAAGATACAAACGTGGTCTATCACGGAGGCATGTACACAGTACACAGGTGAAAAATGAGGAAACAGTCCATTTTACGAGCGGGATTAAGGAAGCTTTCACAGATGGCAGAGCATGTACAATGAGTTCGGAAGGAAGAGCTGGAGTTTGATGTAGAGTATGTGCAAGCCCTCGGGGGCTCACTGTGTGATGCCACACGCAGAGGCTGAGGGCGTCTCGGTGTGGTTTGGTCAGCAGAGGCAGGAGACTGGCTGCAGGCAAATGAGAGAAGGCCACATAAGCTGTTCCAGGGCATTCCCCTCTGATCGATTCTACTTCTAGTCACTCTTCAGCAGACACTCCCCCTAAAAGACTCAGCTTCTGCTTGCTTGTCCAACAACACATTCTGATCATTCACAACTGTCTTGAGGCTTACACTGTCCCCTGACGATGACTGTGTCGTGCTTACAGTGATGGCTTGACTAAACCTATCTATTCTTAAGTCCCAACGATAGAGATTTCACCTAGCTCTATCTCCAAACTACAGTGTACTTCAGCCTGGAATACCCCATGTTTACTCCGAACTGGCCGTGTGGCAACAAATGAGCTGGTGGACTCCTCTTTAGTTTTTAGAGCTAGTTTATCAGGCAGTTGATTGAGATCTGAGTAAATCAGACTCCTTTAGAAAGAGACTCCCAAAGCCACAAATAAATGTTAAAATAAACATCACAAATGATGATCATGAAAATAATCAGGGAGACGTGAGGACCCTGTGTTTAGCAGTATCGGCCTCCCACCACCATGACTTTCTTTTCATGACATCCTAAATCCTAACACGAGTCTTTAAAATGTGAATGACAACTGCGCCCGAGAACTAGAAACATGGAACGATGCAGGGCCCTGCAGGAGAGAAGCACTATGGTCATCTGTCATCCAGGTCCCCAAACAGAGACAGCAAAGCAGCAGCCACAGTCATCCCCATGGGCTCCTACTGAGGAAACCACCTCCCAAACCTTTCCACTTGGAAGCCTCCTCCATAACCACAACTGTCCTTGACAGGAAAACTCTATAAAACTCAAAGCTATTGCAGAAATGAGCAAAAACAATAAAAGGGACGGTGCTGGCAACCGATTGGCTTCATTCGACATCAACAGAAATCTCCAGTTTTGGGTGAGGTGAAGGAGGAAACTATTCAATACGAACAGCTTAATTGTGATACAGCGTGGCTGTGAGAACAGCAGGCTGTGGGCCAGCTCAACGATGTTAGCGTTACAGGTCAATTATGAAGCAGCATGGCTGTGGAACAGCATGGCTGCGAGGCGACCTTGAGGCCAGGCCCCTCTCTGCTAGACAGCCCTGCCCTGCCCTGCCCTGCCCTGCCCTGCCCTGCTCTGTCCACTCTTCTCCACCACAGTCGGGCAAGACGTCTTTGGCTTCCTGTTCAGTCTTTCAGTTCCAGTCTGGGAATCAGTCTTCAGTCTTTGGTGGAAAAGGAAAGGATGCTCCCTGAGCCAGAAGGAAGCTGGCTTATACAGACAGAAGTCTGTGCACCTGGCCTCTGACTGGCCCATCGTGATGCAGATGAGGACTCACAGTCTGTTTGGTCCAAAAGGCACTGACCTGATTGGTCAGAATGGAGCTGCTCTAATTGGTTGAAGATGCTGATGGGGATATAGCTGTGCATCTCTGAATGGACAGGGAAAGCCTCGGTCCAACTGATTAAAATACCATTCCAGGAACTCTTTTGTAAGGGCTGGCTCAGATGGCAGCAACACAGTGCAGGCAGGCAGTTCACTGTGGAGCCAACGCAGTTTAGTGCAGTTGCATGAAAGATCTCTGTTTAGAAATGGCTGCTAGGCTCTCCTTTAAATTTGAGCCTAGTTAGCCACCAGGTGCCTTCTTGGTAGGTATCTTCTTTCTCAGAGTCCACAGCGCAAGACAGCATTCAATACTACTGTAATCTGAACTATAAACCAGTCAGATTAAATTTACGTGGCTGCTGATATGGATGGACGTAGAGGCGGACTGACCACACAATCATTGTTTCAGATGGTTTTTAATCAACATGTGAGGGAAGGAGACTTGGCTTTCTGCTCTGAGTGATACACAGCCGCCTGGCAATCACTCTTGGCTCAGATATTTCCCAAGTTATCAGTATTTCCCACCTTGGGAACAAATTATGACTCATTTGAAAAACACCGCCCATTACAACTATTGAATTCAGCCAATACAAGCCCAAAAGACAATACCTAAGTTTATTCATAACAAGAGCAAATATGCAATCTGATTCGGAATACACGGTTATAAAAATGAAAGTTCAGCCCTTCCTCTCCATTACTTTGTAATACATAATCTACATTTTACCTCCTTCATTCCCCTTTCTTTAAGGAAAAAAAAAAAAGTCAATTCAAATGTGGTAACAGGCCTAACTTCAGAACAAATTAAACATTGAGCTGATGTTCCCTGATAGTCCAAAAAAGCCAATAGGTATTTGTCGTTTTTGTTTTTTAAATCGGGATGCCATATTTCAGTTATGTTTGCATTTTGTAATTTGGTTTAAATTATTTGTATGTCTTCTTTGAAATTCCAGATCTAATGAAACAAGTCTTACAAGTGAGTACGTTTCCAAAAGTACCCTAAATATAATGTATGGCAAAACATTTTTGTAATCTAAGAATCTCTCATTTATATTATTTTAAAATAAGATTATATAATAACTTATGATTATATCTTTACAACTCCCAGATGCTGTGGTAAGCCATCCTAACAAAAGCAATATGGAGTATATTTTAATTATTTCCATTTTACTTATCAGAAATTGAGACTTCAAAAGTTTCAGTAACTACTTAAGTTTCCACCATGAATTAATAAATTATTTTGAACCTAGGGCTTTCTAATTCTCAAATCTGTGGTTGTCACCATAATCCTTTCTTCGTCCAGTGACTAATCATTGCTAATACTGGTTACACAGTGCACCTCAGCACCTGACCGTATTAACTCATGCAATCCACGCAGCCGGCCTCACTATTACACCCATTCTACACATGCACAAACTAAGGCACAGAGAGGTTCAATGCCTTGCCGAACAGGCCAAGGCTGGAAAATGATGTAGTGGGTTGCAGCCCCAGGCAGTCTGACTCTAGACTGCCCCACCCCCATACTTACGGACTATGTTACGTACGACGTCAGCTAGTGAATACAAGTTACCTGTTATTAAGGTTTTTGTCTAACTTACATACAAACATTTTATTCACGTAATAAACCATTATCCCTTCAATGATAACCATTTCTATATCTGGGAAAGAATTTGCAAACCAGTTTTGTTGCATTGGCCTAGTTATATAACAACTTGTTTAATTTTAGTGGAAAAGTCTTTCCAAATATATTTGTTGAGATTTTCACTTTCAGTCTTTTAAACAAGCTAGCTGTATTCTGTTAGCTGAAGAGAATGGTCATATGAGGTATTAAAGAGATTTCAGTTAACAAAGTAATTAAATATATTAAACTAAATGAGTATTATGGAATTTCTATATTCCCTCAGTATCCTGAATTAAATGATACATAAAAAAATATTTATTGTATCTTTTCTCCTCCGAGTGTAAATAACTAAAAATAAAATCTACTAAGAGTAAATATCTTGGAGATCAGAAGCAGAAACCTAAATCTTATGGTTGGTGGGGACTGATGTGTACAGTGTGAGAGAAACGTATTTTTTTTTCATATTTCATGAAAACATGATTTTTCCAAATATAACAAATTAATATAAGATAGGAATTAAAATTAAATATGATTTTATCATTTATCTCTTAGGTGAGTAATATAAAAAATACTAGACTGTATTAACCAATTTAAAAATAATATTATGGTCAAAACCTTTTACCACCTCCCTCCTTATAATATTAGTCACAGATAATATCATCTATTATTATGGGGTTTATAATTAGCTAATAGTTTCACAATATCATCTCATTTGAACTGTAATCTTATAAATTAGGTAAAGCAAAAATTCTTCCTCTCATTTTGCAGGTGACGAAACTGAGGCCTAGAGATTTAAGGGACTAATAAAATGATAAATGTTGGAGCTAAAACCAAGATTAAGGTCTTCTGACATCGAGTATGACCCCTTTTCAATGTCATTCTAAACATCATGCCAATTACCATATGACACCTGTGTAACTGGAAGCATATAAGGTACACCGTTGGGTAAAATTACAATAATATTGACTGTTTCAAAATGTTATATTAAGCAAAATTTTTAGGCTTGCATTGCTAGATTGATGTGATATTGAAGAACTGAAAAACACTGAAACTTTCCAGTGACCTTTTCATTTAGTTAAAAGAGAGGTAAAATTCTATACTAAACTCTGCCTGTATAGATACATATATACTACCCAACTAACATATATCCATACAGATAATAGGTACATCCTAACTTGTTCTCCCATTTTGAACCTGGTTGTTACATAAACAGACTAAATCTGGCTATATTTCATAGCAGCAACACAAACACATGTATTCTGTACATTTTTCATTATAAAAGTAGCCTTCATTAAAATCTCAATACGTAACCATGCAAATGGTAACAATATTGACTAGGAAAGACCTACTAGAGCAGAGTTTCCGCAGTGGGCTTCACGACGGGAACGGGTACAGTGCCGCTAATCCACAGTCCACTGGGCAACTCGTCACCAAAATCTGTGCCATCGCCGATCAGATCTAAACAGACACATAAAGATGACAAAGTTAGTCAATAAACATCATTTCACATTATTTGCACAAGAGTATCTTTACAGCCTGTAGCATTAGGAAAAAAAAAAAGGTATCTGACAAGCAATGCAACGGAAGGGCCTCAGTTACATCCACGTTTTCCACACGACGAGCCAGTGGAAACACATCATGTGGTCAGTAAAGAAGTCTGATTAAGAAGTAATAAATTTAGTAGGAAATTGGTATATTATTGGGAGGTTATAACTTATCAACAACAAAAATAAACAAAACAAATATAAAAGAAAGTTTAACATCTTTTGATGTGGAATGTTGTTTTAGGGCCTACATGCTGGGCGTCACCTCATGCCTGTGCATGAAATTTCACTTAGTCCCGACTACAGAGCTGCGACACAGTGGTCCCCCTCCAAAACACCACCGGCTCAGCCGGGGACTGGACAGGGTGTGAGCTCCACGGCCCACGCTCCCCATACCGGCGGGGAGCGAAGAGCACGCCCTTCTTCCTACGCTCACCTGTGCCCCGCACAGAATGATAACAGACGTCAAGAGAATCATCTAAAGACAGCTCATCGCTCTCTGTTTTCCCTGTAGGTCCCTGGAAGACAGCGTGGTGTTCTATTCATCTTTGTACAAATGTAAAGTGGGATCTCATTTTGGGATACAGTGCCCGACATGTGTAAATATTTGCCGAGTAGATAATAAATTCAGAAAAGTAGGAATTGGCAGACTTTTTTTCAGTCTCAATTCACACTTTTTGTTTTGTCAGTCATTTTATTTACTTTCCAAAGGTATCTTCCGGTTTGTAACGCAGTCTCACGAGGAAAAAGTAGAAAGAATAATCTGAAAAATCGCATGAATAAAGTTTGAAAATGTTCTTTCAAAGAATCACAAACTAGTTAGTAGTCAGTATAGTTCAGTCGGAGGTTCCTGAAGAACAGCAGAAAATGTTCTTTCAAAGAATCACAAACTAGTTAGTCAGTGTAGTTCAGTCAGAGGTTCCTGAAGAACAGCAAAGTTAAATAGCAAAGAAACTGTCCAGAGAGAGAAGAAAAAACATCCACCTTTCACTTCTCGATCAGATATCAGCTTGCTCACAAAACTGCCCCCTTCCCAATGGCCGGTTCCCGGGCGAGAAGGACTGCGCAGCACAGGACACGGCAAAGGCTAAGGCCGCCGGGCAGGAGCTGCACGATCAGATGGAACTAGGAAAAGCTGCTCTGGACCGAGGATGCTGTAGAGAAACAGCCGGCCAGGAGACGCCAATGGCCAGAGCTCGGGAGAAACAGTATTGCAGCGCGCTGTCTGTCGAGAGCTGCGGTGAAAGAACCACCGCCTGTCACCCGTGTCTGTGTGGAAGAAACACCTGTCACCTGTGTCTGTGTAGCCTGTGAGCTAAGAATGGCTTTTACTTTTCAAATCGTTGAACAAAATCAAAAGAATCATGTAAATAATTTGAAATTTAAATTTTGGAGTTTATAAATAAAATTTTATTGGCATATAGCCCCGGCCATGCATTTCCACACTGTCTCTGGCTGCTTCATGCTACAAAGGCAGAGCTGAGAGGTTAGGATAGAAATAGAAGAACTCACAACGTCTAACGTATTTGTCTGACCCCTTATATAAATGGTTGGCTGATTTCTGGTCTGTTAGTTCTCAAAGTCAGAGAAATGGGGGTCAGATTGGAAGCAGGGGGATCAGGAGCCTCAGGACCACCCCATAGCTGCACTGATATATGGGCTTCTCCCCGCAGGAGGCTCTGGGAAGGAGGTTAGACTCAGCCACATCCAACCGGCACCGCCTGAGCCAGTGAGGGCGGATGGAGAAAACCGTCTCCAGCATAAGTGTCTCTTCCCAACACGGTGTTGTCGCGAAGGAAAGTCCTGAAGTTCTGACTCTCACCCGGTCTGTGCCGCCTCCAGAATGACGGACCATCGAGATGACGAGCCCTCCTGCTAAAGGTCTGAGAAAGATCATCAGGGCAAACAGAAATGCCTAAGCAGGTTAGAGAGACCCCGCCCACCTCATTTAAGGGCAAACGATGGCTGTGCCTCAGAATGAACAAATGGGGATAAAGCAAAACAAAGCAAAGCATACAGACTGTAAAAGAGCATCTGCCACACGACCCACAGAACGCAGCCTTTGCGTTTGAAAGGCATCGCAGAAAGTTATACGTTTTGTAGAACATCCGCTTTGTGCTCTCCAGGAAGTGTAAGACAACCCGGAACAAATCCCTAAACTTATCCTCAGAGAACTTAACTAAACCCAGATAAACAAGAAGGCACATATTCCCCATTTAATCATTAATTGTCTCTCAGTGAGGAGGAGATTTGATCTGGGAGACTTGGGTCTGAACACCATTTCCACCAGATTCTTGCTCCACGACCTTGGACAACTTACTTCATACTCAAAGTCTCGTCTCCATCGCCTCTGAAACCAAGTCACTTTGAGAGCCGTATGATGAAACATAAAGTGCCCAGCACACTGCCCGTCACAGGGGAGGTACACAGTGTTTAGCAGCTCCCCGTTCTTCCCGGCCTTCCCTGCTTCCTCCCCGCCCCCCGTCCTCACGCTCACTCGTCCAGTGTGATGATCACACACACAGGGAAGTGGCTGCCAGGCGAGCGGGTCCCTCCTCCGTCACATACAACTCTACATCTTTTGTTTTCTCTGGGTAAACTACATCTCTTAATTTGGGTCCATCTTTATTTAACTGGTAAGTTAGTATTCACTTGAAAAAAAATAAATGAGAAGTAAATTCTGCAACCATTCTTAATCCCGAGGGCAAAAATGTGCTACTTTAACATTTCGTGCATAAATCTATTATAATTTATAATTTGTTATCTGTTTACATGTGTCTTTCCCTGGAGCCATATCTTGATCCACTTGATTGACATGTTATAATATCAAGATGATCAAATATGGCCTCATTGGGCAGACATGCGGCGAACAGCCGGGCACAGCCGGCCTTCGAGGTGCACACTTCTGAGGCCGTTCGACAGTGCTCGCGGGTAGGGTTATGTGCGTGTTTACACTTGTCATGAGGTAACTGTCACCTCACGTTTACATTTCTTGGCTATTAAACTTTAAAGACTAGTCGTAGTGAAAATTCATTTTTATGCTTAGTCTACGTTTGCTCTCCTGTGTTCCAAGTACTCTTTTCTATTAATTGTAAGGACAGTTAAATTAATTAGACAAAAATCGGTGGATGTTTCCATATGTAATTTACAAACAGAGACCACAGCTTCTAACGAATTGAAAGCTAACTCCAACGCTGTCTAACTGTGCTGCACACTCATTCGGCAGGCTGTGGATAGGGGCTCTTAGGGCTCAGAGTCCACCGTCGAGCTGTCTGTCAGTGGGGCGCTGAGCAGGGTGGCTCATGCGGAAAGTCGGTCGAGGTCAGGGCAAAGGGCTACCAGAGAGAAAGTGGGGAGCAGTTTCTGTTGGCATCTTCCTAGAAAAAAACACACTTTCAGATTCTTGTTGTGCTTTATAATTTCGTTGGAGGTGAGAACTGCGTAAATCGAAGGCGGGGATGGATACCTGCAGCCCCCCCGGAAGCCTGTGGCACAATCTCGTCATTTCGGCCATTACATGCTCCTCCTCTTTCTTCTTCTTTTCGCGTCTCTCCTACTCTTTCTCTCCCCTCCCCCATCCTTTTTCTCCCAGTCCTTTTTAGCGGGAACAGCGTCAAAATCAGAGCCGCTCACGTGTCGACCCAGGTGTGAACACTCTGATCTCTGCTTTACATGCATGTTTATTTTCTTTTCTCAGTCTTCCAAAACTGTCATCATAATCCATATTTTACAGAAGCTGCAGTTTTTATAGACTGAATTTCAAAGCCAAATAGCTAGTGAATGGGCAGAGGTGGGAATCAAACCCTGCTCTAGCTGAATCCGAGGAGCGGCACTCTGTGCAGATGCAGAGCCCACTGTCACATCACAGCCCCTGAGTAGTTCTGCCTGTTCGCTGGCCTAGCAGTGGAGGCTTCTGCTGCGTCTTTTCAGCTGAGCTTTTGGGCTCCTGAGCAGAGGCTACCTCCTTCAGGCCAGTTGCAGCCTGGGTTCTAACAGTGACTTCAGAAATGCTAAATGCACAACAATCTCTATTTGTTGAAAGAATGAATGAGGAATAAGAAAAAAAAAGACGAAGAAGAATGATGCAAAGGTAAACTTGGTGAGGACTTGGTATATAAAAAGGAACACAGCATATTGTTGGTGGCACTTAGAGCTTCATTATCCTAGAAATCCAGCTGAAATATGCACAAAACGTTATAACCCCTTCATTTTATAGATTTGGGTAAACCACCTTTAGGAGCGGTTCTCAATAAGAAACGTCCCCATTTCCTGAACATCTACTAAGTGCCAGACTCTGGTAGGTACAACCTCTAGACTGGTAGGTACGGGCTCCAAGGCAGCTATTATTGTCTTTTTTTTTTTTATCCAGAGGAAGAATTGAAGGTGAAGAAACAATAGGATTTTTTTCTTGACTAATGTCACACAGAGATAGTAGAAACCTAAGTATATCAAATTCTAGAGTATAGGCATTTCCACATTACAAACCATGCTTGGTCT